GTCTCCCTTGTACAGTTTTTACAGACAGGTTTCACTGTGTAAAGATATTTAACAGTAATTCACCTGTAAGCTAGTCTTCCAAATTAGAACTTGCAACAGTTTAACCATAACACTGTGTGCCTTCTCAACAACTTCCAACTGATTAAAGTCTGTAGTCGCAAATTTATATTATATTATTCATAGGTTAACAAGGTACATGTATTTTCCCTACTAGTTACACTGTAGTAATACACTTTCACAGATTATATCTTCCATTTTGTTTACACTGTTGCTATGACAACAGCACGGGTATGGATGCATAGCTGATATAATTTATGAAAAGACTGTAAAACAAAGTATTAAGCAAGTCCCTGTAAGGTAGTGGTGCTACATGTATCTTTCATATTTAAATTCTGAGCTTCACATCAAATTTCATCAAATAGCAGTTATTTCTCAAATTATATTTTTGAAACAGTCTACTGCCATAGTCGTGAACAGCATTACATGTATCCACCCCCCCCCCCACACACACACACACACACACACTCACAGAACCCAATTCCTTGTGATTATGCACTGGCTCACTTCTAACATCATGTACCGTGATTGGCGCCAGGAGGGTGTGAACGTATAAACTTGAACTCCAGGGGGGTGTTTCACAAAGATCCTAAGTTCAACTTATCTCTAAGTTGGACTTAAATATTATGGAAAGCCGTTAGCATCTATGAAAATATTTTTTAAACATTATTTTAAAAGGCATAAAATGTTGATTCAAATCACTCATATTTTCTAATATCAAGTAGATTTCATGTTGCTGATGTGGAATTTATAAAAAGTCTAAAATACTTAAATTTTCACTTTTGAATATATTTATTTTAAGGCTACAAATGGCTCTCCATAATATTTAAGTCCAACTTAGTGTTAAGTTCTACTTAGGATCTTTGTGAAACACCCCCAGGACCCTGTTAGCCCTCATAGAAATTTTTATCAATATCAAATGCTAAATTTCTATGACAAATTTGCTCTCAGCCAATCAAATGCTACGATTTCAGTAGCTTATAACAGTAATTGTAACTTGTCATTGATAACAAGTTTTGTGAAACTGGGCCCTGGTAGACCCTCCTCTGGCTCTGATCATACGATATAATCCTGTACAGCTATTCCATGGCAACGGTTACTATGCAACGTTTAAAAAGTACATTTGAAAACAAAAACAATCAAAAAAGAGATGAAATACCAAGATTATATGGATGGCAACAATGTGTGGGAATTTCATTGGAAATACTCCACTAGTAATCAAATTATCAATGATGTTATGGCTTATGGTGTAAAGATATCAAATTCACACATTTTTTCCCAATGAAACTCATGGCAAAATCAATAAACAATTCAAATAGGTATCAAATTATCTAAGATTTTACGGCTTATGGTGGATTCACACATTTTTTCCCACTGAAAATCATAGCAAAATCAATAAACTATTCAACTACTTTTGAGACCATGTCTTCATATACATGTACACGTTGAAAAATAGTACATTTAGCAGGGATTGCTTTTTGCAGTGTAATTGAGTGTAATTGAGTGATATTTGAGTGTAAAAGCAAAATTCTCTTTTTCCAAAGACAATTCACAACCTCTAGATATGTGCTTTAAGCCCCTTAGTTTAATACAATGTAGGTACATTTGTAAATTGTTTAATTAAGGTAATTTGTTTAATTAAGATCATTTCAATTCAACACCTAAATCTTAAGTAGATTATTCCAGTTTCACTCTGCAGATATATATCCAAACTAAACATTTACTTATAGAAATTGTGTTAAGTGATGCCCTAATTGTCCTTGGTCAAGATCAATTCATCAAATCAAAATTAATCAGGATGTATAGTATGAATCTATTAACACCCTGTATTCTCCCTCTCTCTCTCTCTCTCTCTCTCTCTCTCTCTCTCTCTCTCTCTCTCTCTCTGCCCTGTCCCTCTCTTTCAACTGATAGTTTAGATAAGACCTTCAATCTATACAATTTCTTTTTCAAGGTAAATCATCAGCTAATTAACTGATTATATTTATCAATTATGTCATCACACTATAATTATTTTATTTGTAGTCTGTACATAATGATTATATTTATCAATTATGTCATCACACTATCTATTCAATAATGCAGCTTTATCATTTAACTCATCATTTCCCAGGATCGCTGAATGACATTTCCAAAATAGTTGATAATTTGTTTCATAAACACGTCAAAAGATACAAGAACAATATGGTACTGCTGAACTGGAATTGATTTTTTAAATTTTTTATTGAGTTGCACTGATAAGTCCGATATGATAAGATAATTTTGCAGTCTCACAAGTATAGTGATACACGTATACCCTTTCAATTCATTACTATTCTTTATGTTTATTGAGAGTTAGGAAAGATGTATTCTCTAAAAAAAAATGAGTGATCACGGACGTCAATCCTCTGGAGAGTGAAAATGTAGTGAAAATAGAGTGAACATTAACTCTTTTCTTCTTAGAGAGCACTCTAAAATCAATCGATTTTCACTCCTAAACAAGTGATCACGGACGTCACTCCCAAGAACGTGAAAATAGAGTGAAAATTCACTCTTTTTTTTTAAGAGAGTAGTCTGGCATTGTACCTCTTCTTTTAAAGAGCATCTTCCAAGCAAACACTTGGTCTCAATAAGCCTGTCTTCATCAGCTCAAGTTTGTCAAATAACCCGCTATCTTCAGACTCGCGATATTATCCCAAAGCTCAAAATTGCATCCTCACCAGACCATCAAGCTCATCACAAACTAGCTCGGACTGGCGCAAATAAGCCCGCTATTTCCCCCAAAGCGGTAGATTTTTTAAACAAGACCAAGATTTCTCTACCAAATATCAGATTATTGAAACTGTGAGCTGATGAAGTCGCAAATTAACTGGCTAATTTGCGATTGAGATTAATAAATTTAGTTAAAATAGCGGGTTATTTAGCAAACTCGAGCTGATGAGGACAGGCCTAATGCAGCACTAGCACAACTTCTGCAAATACTCGGTTTGATGACTACTTCAAACATAGCCATGTTTGGAAAGAAGGAGCTGAATAGCCGGATGGACGAGACAAAACAGCGCGACAAGCCTAAGACCCATAGATATCCCCTTCCATAACAACTGAAGATTACAGAACCTTGAAACCAACATTAAAATAACCTGTATCTATCGTTGACTCGTTAAAGTAAATACATGTATGTGTGATGAATATAATGCATGGTAACAGTCTGTATGTTTCATTCTTCTTCTTTTCTGGACTTACAGAGCTGTGTTTGAAAGAAGTCTACAACATTAAAATTTGATTTTTTTATTTTATTTATTTCTTTTCATTTGAGACATATTATCAAGTCAAATGTCAAAATCTATGACAATATGATGAACATTTTCCAATAATGCAGCCCTTTAAGGAAAAATGTTTGAATTCATGTTATGTTTGATATCTTTCTTAATAATGAAATCCACAGCATTACATTTCAGTTGTTGCTATGCCAAAAAAACCTCTTACCGGTATATGCTATGGATTTTTGTCAAAATTGAGAGTACTAGAAAGGTACCACCTAAATTTTAAAAATATCAAAATAATTATAAAAGATGATGGGAAAGCAAGTTTACAGGTGATTTTTTGAAAATCTGATTTTTGAGAATTGCTTTTCTTCAAATGAATTTTACTTTGAAAAGTTTCAACATTTTGTTTGTATTTATACCTGTCATTTCAATACATTATTCTCCAAGTTCAAATATAATCTCATCATCTGGTTGTGTTTTCACTCTTTTCAAATAAAGAAACTCTACTGCCTCTTTTTTTTTCAAAGTGTAAACACACCTTACCAGGACAGCAGGCCTTCTAAATGCTAATCGCTGTTGACCATGCACTAGACATGTATTTACATTATAGCTGAAGTAGTCTACTGGAAGGCATACAGCAGCAGAAAAGATATATGTACAGACTACAAATAAAATAATCCCTGAATAAATAAAGATGGCACAGATTTAGCTATCTATAGTATCTCAATTTATACAGACTGACTTACAAATGTATACAGAAATAACTGGAACATAACATACAAAGAAACACAATTTTTTTTTCTTTACTTCAAAACTTTGCAACAGACAAATGCCAGTAGTTTTCCCAAAACGACATTCAGATCCCCTTAAAATAGTTTTTTCTTCCCCTTCCTCCCACTCTCCTCCCCTCCTCTCTCCCTCTCTCTCTCTCTCTCTCTCTCTCTCTCTCTCTCTCTCTCTCTCTCTCCCTCTCTCTCTCTCTCTCTCTCAGTCTCTCTCTCCCTCTCTCTCACACTTTACCTTTACCTTTTTTTCTCCCATTCTTTCTCCCAATTCCACAATGTTTATCCAGTATAAAACTTTTAAAGCTTTCTACTGAGTATGGCATGGGTAAAAACAAATCATAATAGTAACTACAGTAAATAGAAAAAAATTAATGTGAATTAACAGGAGTCTTTCAACATGCCATTTATTGTGATGAATGAGAGCTATGAGCATTATAATGAACGCATGCCATACAAAGTAGGAACATACTACCATGATTTTATTGATGCATTTATTTTTAAATGGGCAATTTGGGATGAGTACAACAAGCATTTCATCAAACGGTGTGCAGCCTTTTTCAATGGTGCAAAACAAATCCTATGATAATGGATGGACGAGAGCCACACAAAAAAAGAGGATAATCCTATCTGTCTTGAATGAAAGGAGAGAAAAGAGAGAGCATATAGGTCTACAAGACTTTGCTTGGGTACATGTTATGATCAACAAATCTAGCTGTGTGAGATTTACCTTTTGCATAAACAAATTTGGAATAGAAACTGAAAACAATATGAGCTATTAGGTGAAATGCAGATACTTAAAAGCCACGTTTCAAGAAAGAAAAACAAATTAAAGACAAGATTTTGATGTTACTGCATACAAAACTAATCAATAATTTCCACAATTTCAATTTGTGGAGATCTTAGAATGACTTACCTTATTAGCTTCAGGGTGAGACCGAGTGACCCTATTGTCTTTGGGGTTGTAAGGGGGCGGGAGGGTAATGGCCGCCCTCCCCGTGGTGACCCCGCCCCCACCGTGCCCTAAGCGGCCTGGCATGAAGTCAGTTCCCGGCCCCTGCACGGGCTGTGCAAACACACGCAACTTTTTACTCATCGCGGTTCGCACCGTAAATTGTCGTTGCTGGCATCGTTAAAGTCACACGAATGGCAGTTCTCAAAACCGGTTGCCAATTTAGAAATCATCTTGGTGATTGATGGTCAATGTCATTATGCATGCCATGTATCTGATGAAAGTAGTGGATACTAAATCAATTAAGAGGTCCTGTCAATATATTCCTTGCAACCTTCATCCGAGGATGAATAGAGTATCCGATGAACGCCTATGATGCCTCATTGATTCTCTCAAGTTCACTCAATGATGATTCGATCAGTTTTTAAAAAAAATGAAATCCTTGGGGAAAATCTGAAGGTCCCAGGAAATATGCAGTACAGATACAAAAGGTTATTGATGTAACATGTTTGATGTATCATGCAGTGTTGAAAACAAATCGCAAGCACTTCCTTAATAACTATGAGAGTATAATTTGTTTGACCAGAGACATATGAGGAAGATATCTCTAGGTTCATGAAGTCGGCTAGAATCCGGTGACACAGGCCACTTACAAGTCCTTCCTTGTGGACAGAATTTCAAAAAGATTCATTTTCAGTCTTGAAGATTTATTGATGTCAGTGTGTATGTATATCCAGAGAACTTTTTTCTCCAAAGTCCATCAGATGAGTAATGACTTTAATCCACGCTAGAAACAAACTGCTTCTTGAGGTATGAAGAAAAATAACACAACAACAATCCTGATTGCCTGCTCCTGGAGAAAAACTAAATGAAGTGGTGCTGATATGAAAAAAAAATTTCCTTCCAGGATAATACTGATTAAAAAGCACTGATTCAATCAAAACACTAATGGATTAATCACACCCCTTCAGGAGATGAAATCTGCCGCGCTGGGAAGCAGAAGTAACTGGGTAGTTTGCTACTTTACCACATCGCTGAAATAAACCCAAGCCAGCCGAGCAGGGCGGATAGAAAGCAATAGAAGGGGCATCAACTACCAGTGGAGCATGCAGGCCGGACAATATCGTTATGGACTTGCAGGCACAATGCATTGATCACATCCTGGCAAATGGGCGGATCGGATGAATGAATGAGAAAGAGAGAGAGAGAGAGGGAGGGATGAATGGATCGTCTCCGTAGCACTCACTAGCTGTGCAGACCTGAATGGATGCCATGAACCAGCGCACTCATTCAGGCTTACTCATTGGTTGAGTGAACTCGAGCCGAAGCTCCCTTTCTCACTAGGCTTAATGGGTCGTCATCAGCAACCAGATAGTTTACAGTAGCTTAGTCTATTCAAGCCAGGCTTTATGCATGGGAATTCCACAGAGGTAGGGAGGGAGGGATGGGGCCATATTATCTAGTTAATTGGAATAACAAAATCTCAAAACATAGGTTCTGGTAGAGGGATAGATGAATAACCATATCGGCTTTTCGTCTGAGTGAGAGCCTTTGATAACCCAACATCACTTAACCAACTTCTTAAGTCAGTTAGGCCTACATTACATCAAATAAGTAAGATTTCAGAAAACCCAAATTATGTATTCTTGCAGAAGTGTGTCTAAAAGGACATTCTCTTTCACATTATGATGCAATACTCCAAAGACTTTAGAGGGGCTTAAAAAAATATATATTAACATGTATACAAATTTCTTAATCATACCCCGTGATCTTGGTAGAATCACATACGTACATTTAGGATCCCATACGTACATGTACATCAACTAAGATGAAGCAAGCACGTCATACATATACCTAGAAACACCAAATCGTATTTTAATTAGCACATGGTCAATTAAAAAAAAACACCTTCCAAGAAAGGCACAATACCACAATCATAATGCCAATACCCCATCAAAAGGGGCTCATTATTCTGCCATTTTTCATTCTCTTTTCAACTTCAGGGACGCTGCTGATGATGTCATATTTGTTCTAAACCCCTGTCACTCTCTGCCTCTCTGTATCCTGGTATTTTACGTGGAATTCTAAAGAATAATGTGTGCTCATTTCTGACCCTATTGTTTGTTTTAATCTCTCAGTTGCCTTTACAAGTTAATGATTAGTCCAAGGACGTTACATGTCCTAAAGAACTTTTTTCTTTAAGCAGGAGTCATGACATTCAAAATCAATTGCCCACCAAAATTGTTCAACATAGTACCTCTACTTAAAAATAACTAGTGGTAGCATTTGAATTATACTGTAAGAATTTGAATTACGGTATTGCAGGGTCTAATAGTTTCATTTTTGTTCACAGGGAGAACATTGTACTTACTCAAGTTTCTATTACCATACAATTACTAGAATATAGAATCTCTAATTGATACAGTTTTTTTAAACTAAAGAAGTAAACAATTATGGCAATCATCCAATCTTTATGCATTTTTCCTTCAGCATGGGTTCCCAAGTAAGAGAGTGACCAGAAACATCGCAATACCCTTCCATATTCCTCTTTACTACGAACACCAGCAAAATGTCATTGATTTTTGCACACCATAATTATACCCCCCACAAGATTGACCATTTGTTGAGAGCAAAAAGGGCCTTAACTCTTTAGTAAACATATAGAAGTTACTGCCCTTCTGGCTCTCAGCAGGTTTAATGTATCACTGTGAGTCATTGACATTGGAACCACAAGTTCTGGTGGAAAAAAAGAAAACAAAAGAAGAAAGAGGAAGATTTATGAGAAATCCATTGATTTCTTTGCTTGGGTTGGTGTATTGATCCAGGATGGCAGGTTGGAAAGAATATCTTGTTGATAGTGTCTTTTATTGCGCACAAACAGCAGACCAATCAATAAAGACCATTATATGGACAATGGTCAGATCTCTCTCTTAGTCTACCGCTCAAGACCAATAGAGAAGACGTGATAGTTTTGATATAAGCGAATGAGACCAAAAGTGTATTGATTCTTCGGAAACAGGATGCAGCACTGTCCATTGAATTAAAAACAGAAAAAGGTGCAATTCGAGAAACTTTCGTACAAAACACGAGCAGGTTTGTCAGGACAGTGCCTATTTAAAACTGACAGGACTCACCATCAGTAACCTGGCATGATACTATTTTTTTTAAACATATAAAAAATAAAAAATTAAAATAAAAAAAAACTACCACAAAACAAGAGAGAAGACAGTTGTATTATTACATATACGATAAAAAAATTAAAGAAAACTGTTGATGATAATAGTCAAAATTGACTGATTGCCATAAAACATTAATCCACAATAATCCCTGATTTGTGACACAAGGTTCACCCCTGGGTTTGCCTATAGGAGCATGGAGGTCCCAGGGGAATAAGAACATTCAGTAGTCAATGGTCAATATTCAGACTGGGGTCTGTATTTTGAGACTAGAGAGAGGCAATGATCACAGTCTACGTCATACTACTTGAGGTAAAACATTTCATGCTATGTAACTAATCATAAAGAACATTAAAGCACATGATATTCACATGTATGTAGATGTAGAGACTGTAGAAAATGGAAAGAAGAGATGAGGACCCATACAGACTACTTTTACTCACTATTCTTTGTTGTAAAAAAAATAATAAGAGGCACACTGAAATAATGTGTGTCTTGATCCACTTGTCAAGTGGCTATATACATTAATTGCCCTCTCCAGCACGCTTGTTATTGTCTTGTAATTAGTTGTTCCAGGAAATAAGAAAGCATCGCTACCCAAGTCATTATATCCTTCTCACCTACTCTCCTCCTGTTCTGCTCTCAAATTCATCTGAATTATGTGTTTTTAATCAAGATGAATTCACAAAGTTACTGTTACTGTACACAATTTACAATCAGACTTATATTTCTCTATTTTGTAAACTATGAGGAAAATGAAGGTCATATGTAGAAGGACAAAGGTAATGCCCTCCTACTCCTAGCTATCTAAAGATATAATTATTGCTAAATGCCAATTTGAGCTTGATGAGTCGTGACTGAGTTTCAGAAAGGAATCTCATCTTCATCTCCTTCATATTAACGTTTTCTGCTGAGAGCCAGAAGGGTCATGGTCATTTACCTGTAGTTAATACCTTTCTGGCACTCAACAATATTTTTTTTAAATAATTCATTTGTTTTATTTAAACAGGGCAACTCTCTCAGTATCAAAACTGTTTTCCTGAGAGACCCTGTGCAAATTATAGGATACAAATAAGATAAAGTTGAACAAACTTTACTTACATACATATCATATCATATCATGGATTATTTGTTTTTATATCTCCATATATATATAATTCAATGCAAATGACTCAACTAAGAGAGCAATTCAAGATCAGACAGTCAAATGAGAGTAGAAATCAAGAAAGAGAAGAGATAGGAGTTACAGGACAGTGAGAGGTACCCGTATATAAAGGCAGAAAGGAATAGAACAGCATACTAAACGTAAAACCACAATATTTTAAGCTTTAGAATTCAGTGGCATAAACCAAATGACTGAAGCAGAAAAAAACAAAAGTAGCTGTAAATACGTGAAGTAAAAGACAACAATGAAATTCTTCCTAAATTATGAAAAAGCATAGAATAACCACCATCTTTTTTTATATAAATTCCAAAAATAAGCTAAAACATTTTACAACTTCGATTTATGAGCTCTCTGCAGGAGGCCACAATTCCCACAAGTTCACCCCAGTTGAACCTGCTAAAAATGTGGGACATTTTAATAACATACTTGACATTAGATCAACCAAGGTGGCTGGTATCATACATCATGGTATTACGACCACATGTGTCACATACCTCATTCTTGAGGTCTGTGTGTGTTAAGTGGGGGGAGAGGGGTGTGGCGGGTGTGGCGGGGGGGGAGAGGGGGGGGGGGTGTGGTGGGGGAGGGGGTGTGTGATGGAGGGGGGGGGGGGTTCCAGCGGGGAGAAACAAATGTTTTGAAAGAAACAGATTGAATCACCCCCCCCTCCCAAATGTGGGATATCTTAACAACATACATGTACTTGACATTAGGTCTACAAAACTGACTGCTACCACACATCATGTGTACCATACCTCATTCTCAACTCCTCAAGGTATGAGGGCCCATTCCACAGAGTTCAAACGTTTAAAACAAAGAAAAGAGACTGGATCACTACCTCCCCCACCCCCCCCCCCCCCCCCCCCCCCCCCTCCCCCTCCTCGCTAAAAAAGTGGGAAACCTAAACAAAATTGACATAAGGTCTTTCAAGGTGACATAAAACAAAAGATTGTATCTATTTTTACCCATTATTTTTATCATTTTACATACCGGTACATACCAGTATACAAAATATTTGAGGAAGTAGGGGTCAACATTTTGAATTCCTTGAGCTTTTGTGTGTGGGTATGGGTTATTTAACACCATGAATACTCACTCACGCACTGCAAATTATTTGTAAAGATCTTTCTAAAAACAACTGAATAAACACATGAAAATCCAACAAAAAAAGTGTTCAAGCATGTGCACATGCTCAAAGATCGTGGGATATTCCAATTTTCAAAAAAACAAAGAGAATTAGAAAATGTCAATGGAAATGTATGAATCTGAAAAGGCATGTGATCGTATCTGTTAAGGTACTTTTTTAATGAACAACAGAAGATCAAAACTTCTTATGTTCCAAATCAAGTTGTCCTCTTGAACAATTCTTACTTTAATGTAACATGTGTTGAGAGTCATATGGGTGTTAACTCTGTATTAAAGCATACCAGCAGCCCTACAAATACAAGTTAACATCCTTCTAGCTATAAGCAGATGAATAAGAATAAAAAGGTTGAGAAATGCATAAAATCATCTTTAAGAAAAAAAAAAAAGAAAGACATGTGAACTCAATCCAGGAGGTTAGAGAAAACAGCTGGAAACATTTTAGCGGTTAAATTCATGTTTTCCTTGTAAAAAGTTTTCTATTTTCATCCCAGCTTGATCGACAACGATCCATAATTAGATGGCTAGACAAAGCAACTACGCAAATATTTCATTCAAATCGGCATTGAGGTGGTGTTGATTATATATATATTTTTTTAATGTAGGGTGAATTAAAAAAACTTCAAATAAATGTGAAGTGAATTTTTACTTGCATTGGTGAGAATGCGACGTTTAAATTTTCAAATGATGGATTAATGTGGGAGTGTTAAATGTAAAGAGATGAGGCCTATAAAAA